ATAGCTGAACAGCAGACAGAAGTGCCACCCAAGTGAATCAAAACAGATTTCTGGGAACAGTCAGAAGCGTCCGCAATCCTCCTCATTAAAGTCATCTTGGCTCTCAACAGATGTCCAAGATACAACAGCATTAAAGGATATTTTCTGTGCAGATAGTGGGAAGAAACATATCTATGTCATTCCCAAACATGACTTACAAAAGAGTTTAAAGAGAAGAGAGAGGCTGTTCCTTTTTGGAGTTCTGGATGTATTGTGTGGGCAAGCGTATGAAAGACAGCAAGACAAAACAGTGGCCAAATAGGCTAGGAGCCTGATCAGACATGAACGCAAAATCTGATAGCAGATTGCTCTTGGGATGCAAGACCCACGTTCAAATCCCTACTAGCAGGGGAAAAAAACGTACTTTCTAGGGCAGCGAGAACTCTCAACAGGTCTCAGTGTTATCCACACAAACCAACCCAAATGTCAGCTCTGCAGAACAGCAAGAACTCCCATTTTCTACCTTCCCCTTAGTCTGTTGTCCCTTATTCCCAAGTCCACTTCACAGCTAAATAACCAGGGGATGATGGCAGCTTTTGGTCACTTGACCTGGCTGAGAGTGTTGGTATAAATCAACAGGTCGCTCCACAGATCATTTCCAATAATTTATTTTGATTCATAGTTGCATTCATCTGGAAACACTGGATATGATGCAAAATGGACACACACACACACACACACACCAGTCCTTTCGACAAAGCTCAAACATATTTCATATCAATTTTCTTCTTAAAGTGTAGTGTGGACCCCATACATACAAAAAGCACCCCACACTCCAAGGTAAACAGTTCTTCCAGAGCCTGTCGTTCTTATCATTAAAAGGATTCCCATAAAGATAAGATCTTGAGAAGCTGAATTCACACATTTTAGAAAAAAACCTCATTGTCAGCTGGCAAGATTTTCACTGTACAAACATCCTGGTAGTGGAAGAAAGTTTTAGGAAAACTTGAGTTCTTCACCAAAAGCAATATAGGAAAACACATCCATAATCATACACACTTCCTGCCTTAATGAGGCAATATACATTCATATAGAAGAAAGTCATCAAGCACATAGTTAAGACACTAGGCAGTGAGGCAGTACTCTTATCTCTAGAAGAAGTTTTACAGCAAATGGTTTAAGACACTTGAAAGCAACCTACTTTGAAGAAAAAAAAGCACCATCATAGCATGAAGGCTGAAATGTGATTAGGAGTCAGCCCCAATTCAGGCTCACCAGTGACTTTTGTTATTTGAGAACAAGTGGAGAAACAGTTTACACGGGGACCTGTGACTTGCCTATAGAAACGCATGATTGGAGAAGATGCAGTTAAGATAGTGCCAAGCTACTATGCACAGGGTGCATCTTATGGTGCAGTTCTTACTACTGTCACCAAAGAGAGGATGCTGGTATTTGTACACAGAGCAGTTAACACTACAATAACAGTGACATCAGAACCATGGTCCTTTAGGAGTTGCCTTGCTCTACAGAAGTCCATACTATTTGTAGTAAAGAGCAAATCCCTTTTAAAAGGTCATGGTTAAAGCATGATGAACTCACTTCCAAGTCTGTGTGGAGAAACATCAAGGCTAGATGTTACTGAAGTCCTCCTCTGCTTCTGACTAGCTCTGGGTCTTCTTTTCTTATAGAGGGAACACTTTTAAGTGGCCAGAATTGCACTATTTTTTTCATTGCCATATACATGCATGATGTTTTATAAGCAAGACACTAGTCCCTGCCTCAAGAACACACACCTAAACTGCAGGTCACCTGTCAAACGCAGCCTGCTCCTTGTGCACTTTGCCTCCCCCATTGCTCCAGTCTACCCAGGCAGCGTGGATCCAGGCATCCACTAATGCAGCACTACAGGAGAAAGGGCCTGAGAACTGACTCTTTTTGCCCTACCACAACTGCACTAGATTTTAACATTTTTCTACCAGCGTGGCCAATATCAAGACCAGTGAGAAAGTATTCAGGGAAGATATTGCCCTTTGGAGCACAAGAAATCACAGAACAGTCCATCTCAATATAAATGAAAAAGGAAGTGCTACCCTTCTGGAGTACTGAAGGGCTAATTCTCAGGGCTATTAAAAGGAGAGCTCTGAAGGGCGACTCTGAAGCTTGGAACTCTTCTGCCCTTTTAGATAGCAACATATCCTGTTACATTGTGCTTTCCATCTCCCAAGGCATTCAACAAGGTAAATCCTCTCAGGAAGGAACAATGGATAGTAAACAAAAATAGCAACCTTAAAGAAAAAGTCAACATTGCTATGCAGGTTATGGGCATGTGAACTTCCCATGCACTGCAGAATCAGCAGTGGATTCTCCTCCTACAAAGATCCAGCCTTGCAACCATTTTAATGTCCTGAATGGTTCCAGTTCCCCCTGGGGAGAGTATAAGAATGAAACTTACTTCAGCACTTCAGCCCTGCCACATTAGAGAGGGCTTGACCAAGGTATAGGACGATTAGATTAGTCCAAGATCTTTGGTTCCTTATTTGCACTCCAAAGTCCATGCTGCCTATGAGAACACCTCTGTGAGAGTCTTGCTGCAAGCAGTTCAAATGAAATCTCCCGTGTCAGAGCTCATTCAAATGCAAGGGACAAGGCTTTACAGTCATCTCCAATCAGTGAAACACTTCCAGAACTTGCTCAGCTCATAGGCAAATGACAAGTTTTTGTGCATTTAACTCATAGGGACAAAAAGATTCACTACCACCACTGCAGGGGTTTGTTTAGCCCAGAAGGTCACACTGTCTTCACCTTCCCACGTGCCAGCAGGACAGAGGAAGATCACAAACCTGCCAACCCCCAGCATATCTGTCTTGAGGACTGCCAAGCTCTCAGTTCATCTCAGCAGGTACCAAAGGACATATGTGCGATGCAAATATTTGCAGACAATTCATGTGGAGGTGCAGTCTTTGTGTGAAGTCACTCTCCTAGGGTCAGGCTCCAGCTCCAAACAGTCAGAAAGTCATGCTTAGCTGCAGGAGGTATGGTTAGCGTAGTTCAACTGAGTGCCTTTTACTTCACACCAGGGCCAGGGCAGCAGTCAAAAGTCTCTTAATCGTGTTTAGTTGGAGACAAGAAGCAAGAGAGTTGTCCCCTTTACCTCCTCACATAGAATTGCTCACCAGGCAAGAGGAAAGAAAGGACACTGAATAAGTCAGTAGCCATTTGTGCATAGCTGCATTCCAAGAGCAGCTGCTCCTCAATTACCTGCTGGGTTATAGAAAGTGCAGGTGCCACTTGAGAAAACCTAACAGTGCAAAGAGGAACAAGGTTTTTACCTTAAATTGGGACACGTAATGAGGAGCATACGCACCAACTATGGCAGATCTCCAGGGATCTCAAAGGACAGCCCCAGATCTGCTACCTTTTGGCACCATGCACCATCCATCCGTTCTTCAGGGAAAACGCGCGGCGGCCCACAGGGAATTTGTATCACTCAGCCAACCTCCCCCAGCTGCCTACCACCTGAGGGGAGTCAGGGGTAAGTAGAATCTGTGCACATGGCACATGCATCTAAAGGAGGTCAGCAACTAGGATGACGTTCTTCCCACCGCTTCTGCATCTTAGGCCTGTCCCACAACTCTTGTGCCATGGTTCTAAGCTTTTCCAGCCAGGCCTATCATATTGCTGCTGGGCCAAAGAAAAAAAAGGGGTTTGGGGGGGGGGGAAAAAAAACCAATAAACAAGAAAAACACACCAAAACCTTGTGATTTCAGCTGAAGCTCAAGTCCAGGCAAGAGGACAATTACCAGCTGCAGTGGAGTGCATGGCAATCTTGCTGGGCACACTTAATTCATTCAAGCAGCCAGCTCCAATAACTCCTCTCCGTTTCTCTACTGCGGAGATTGAACTGTTCCTGGACTTCCTACATTGAGAAAAATCTACCATCAGAGATCAAGGCAACTCCACAATGACTAGGTGAGAGGAAACTGGATCGCTATGTTATAGCAACCCAGCTGATCACGGTACCAACTACCAAAAATGGTAAATTCTTTAGCAGAAGAATCTATTTCCCCACAGGCTCCCTTCTCCTTGGGAGGGAGGGAGAAAGGTGGTTTCTGTAAGGCAAGAGTAACATCAGACAGAAGTCCACTTTCCCCTCAGAGCCGTTGTTCCACATTACTTCAGAATATACCTCTTTTTTACTTGGCATATTTACCATACTGTCTCATGTCACAATCCATAAACAGAGTACAAATATTTTGAGGGAGATGAGCCAAGCCTTCAAACCAGCACAGACTCACCTGGTAGAAAAGAACTATGAGATGGAAGATGGCAGCATCTTCTCACCCAGTCAGAGAGATTGGGATGGAACAACAACTTTAGGGGTCAAAAAGGGAGAGGATCTTGCAAAGCCCTACAGAAATGTTGCTCACAAAGGCACTTAATACAAGCACTAACATGTATACAGCTGGATGGAAGAGAAGATAGAAAAGAGAAATGCACCAGAGAGCTGCTCACTGGCTGCCTTGACAGTGCTCTTTCAGCCAAAGAGCCTGGCTTCTGCAGTAGTTTCTGTCATCTGTATTAAAGTGCACATCATCCGCCTTACATCTCTGCAATACTGCATGTAGGTACAAGCCAAAAGTTCTTTAACTTCTGCAGAAACCCATGGATACTCTGAAGTCCAGTAGCAGATTCCTCTTGATGCCAGAGTTCACGCATAACAAAAAACACAGTTCTCAAAACCTTGTGCCCTTCTTCATCCTGCTGAGCTGTGCTGCGCAGTTTCCTGTGGTGGAAACAAGCAGGGGGCTCCTTCTCTCCAGGTTTGTGCATATGGCTTACTGCTTTCTACATCTTATTGCTGGCTGACAGCATGCAAAGAAACATTCTGCCCAGGAAAGCTTCTGATATTGCCAGTGATGGGATGGGCTGCCCACACACTGACCTAGAATGGAAGGGGGGAGGAGGGAGTCCTAGTAGAAAGGGCCATTCTCCTGCTAAAGAAAGTGGCTTCTGCAGTAGTTTCTGTCATCTGTATTAAAGTGCACATCATCCGCCTTACATCTCTGCAATACTGCATGTAGGTACAAGCCAAAAGTTCTTTAACTTCTGCAGAAACCCATGGATACTCTGAAGTCCAGTAGCAGATTCCTCTTGATGCCAGAGTTCACGCATAACAAAAAACACAGTTCTCAAAACCTTGTGCCCTTCTTCATCCTGCTGAGCTGTGCTGCGCAGTTTCCTGTGGTGGAAACAAGCAGGGGGCTCCTTCTCTCCAGGTTTGTGCATATGGCTTACTGCTTTCTACATCTTATTGCTGGCTGACAGCATGCAAAGAAACATTCTGCCCAGGAAAGCTTCTGATATTGCCAGTGATGGGATGGGCTGCCCACACACTGACCTAGAATGGAAGGGGGGAGGAGGGAGTCCTAGTAGAAAGGGCCATTCTCCTGCTAAAGAAAGTCAATCAATGTTATTTCCAGAAAAAAAAAAAAAAAGGGTGTCACACTATGTCTTCAGCAGAGCGCTGCGGAGGGGGAGACCCCAGGCTCAAGAAATGGCCCCAGTTGCACAGGAAGCCCCGGTTATACTGGCCAGTGTCTATTACTAACCCACCCATGAGCCTGCGCCCAGTGTTGTCACGCAGAGCCAGACGAGCTTCCCTCTCAGTCACATTGTAGCTGATGTTCAACAGCTGGATAAGGAGGATGTATCCCATGCCAGCTGTTACAATGGCACAGTACCACACACAGGTGAACGACAGAGCAGAGCTGGCAGCAGAGAAAAAGATAGGAAGGAAACCATTTAGTTTAGGAGCAGCTGCTTTACATTTACTTCCCCTGGTAATCACTATCCTTTCAAATCCCTGTCCACATCTGCCACAGTGATCACACTTTGCTTCTTTCATCAGATAATCCTAAAGAGCTTTCTCAAAATTAAAGCTTCATGACTTGCTTAATGACAGCTCTTAGCACTACCAGAGCCCCTCCCTGCGCAGTCGTCTCGCACTAACTAGCTTTTTTCTCTTACTGTAGGTTAAGACCCAGTTCTTTACAAAGGAAACGTTGTTCACACTTCACAGACAGGGAAAAGCAGTAAAGAGGAAAGCAGAGTGACTTGCGTAAATGTATACTGTTTATCAGTGGCAGAGCCAAGCTCTGAGCTCAAGTCTCCCATGTTTTTCACCACCCTTCCAGCCAGACAGTCACATTAACGCTATCTGTTCTGAGCAAATAAACTGATGGAATGACAAAGTCACCAGGTAAACACTGATGGAAAAGAGGGGAGAGACAGCACACTGATCGATCCCAAGCGGTCAGTTTATCACCTGCAAGCAAGGGCAAACATCTAAAGGGTGGATCTATATAGGGCACAGTAAATAAAAGATTCCAAATCCCAGCTCCTCCAACAACTTTCTGCAGATAAATACAGTGCGATCTCTCTGGGTCTCAGCCTCCCCATCTTAGCAAAAGTAGCGATGCACCCTTGCCCTTCCAAAGCTTTAAGGAATCAGCTGATCAGGTTAGACAGGAAATAGCTTGGAGCATAAAAACGAGACAAAATTAAGGAGCTACCCATGCCTGTTCAGGCCTGGGTTCCCACCCCAGCTCTTTCCCAGACAGATGTCTCACCTGTAATCAGAATAGGCCCCAGGGCAGTAGAACAATGCCATGAATGGAGTTCGGCCCCTGCATACGGTGTCCAGGGTCAACATAATCCCATACAGAGAGGTGAGCATGAAGAGGGAAAGGGCAAGGATGAATGCTTGGTGGTTCTGCTCCCCTACGCAGCTGTTAATCCTCCAAAAGGAAAGAAGAGTTACTTTGTTTAAAAGAAAAAAAAAAGAAAAAAAAAGAATAAAAAAGTTTCTCTTTCTTCTTCCCATCTCCAAATTATCAGAAAACCTGATTCCAAGGCCTCTCTATACAAGGCAGACTAATACTCAAATAAAGCTATAAAGGCACAAGTCAGTAGATCAGTTAACGCGGTGGCAGTAGGCTATTTGCCCCAAAAGCTCTTAAGAAATGTAACGTCCTTAGCCGAGATGCCCATATCCCACTCCTCCTTGGTTCCACGGCTATGTGTACGCTGGCGGCTTTGGGTTCCCTTTCCTCAGGGGAGCATCAGTGCAGGTTAACTGCAGGATTAACACTACTGCTCAGACCAAGTCAAAAAAACAAAACCAACAACCCTCTCCCCACAAACAAATACAAAAAAACCCCACACTCGACAACAAAAAACAAACACACAGAAGGCAGTCAGCAGCAATTCTGAAATATGTGATACAAGTTATCAGGCACCAGGTCATCCTACTTGCAATGAACAGCAACCTTACCTTTTAAAAGAGTGTCACCAAGTCCTGTACATAACGAAAGCAGCCCTATTTAATGGGGACTGGAAAAAAAGAAGCTTAAAAGAGACAGAAAATACATAACCTCAGAAGTGCAAAACCTACCAGACACAGTGATGGTCCAGTCTTCTTACGCACCTGCCACAGAGCCGGCAATGCCCTGCTCGGGCTGGTCTGACCAGCTGACATTTAGCGCACCAGTCCTTTTTCATCCCTTCTGGCTCCTCAGCTGACAGTCTGGAATAGCCTTTGGCCTCCCCGTTCACAGCACGGCCACTGGCAGCTCCTGATGTGTTAACTCCATGGAGCCCGTTAGAGCTCCCTGTAACTTTCTTGCTTGGCAAATCCATGACCTGGCACGATGACTTGTCATTGCTTGTTGGGCTAGGAAGGTACCCAGGGTCTTTCTTGGCTCGAGATAGAGCTGTGAGCATAAGAATTAACCCACAGGTGAGAATAACCACTTGGGAATACCCCACATGGCCTCGGGGAACCACCTCCTGGAGGAACACACAGTACATGTAGCCCAGGGAAAACAGTCCTAGGCTTAAAAAGAAGAGAGTCCGCTCCTTCCTCCTGTGTGTGAGGTAGTAGTACCACAGCACCACCATAGGAAGAGATGTCAAGATGACAAGTGCCAACAGGAAGTGCAGAGCCGCAACATGAAGGAAGACAGGTAACAGAACAAGAGGTGGAACAAGGCTGATATTGATCTTTACAGCCCCTGTAAACCAAGGGACACGCAGTCGGTCTGCGATAGCGTCGGCAATTCTTTCTAAACTTCCTGGGGGCAGGGATTTGCATGTCAGCCACCTGTTAGGGAAAAGCACAGATCCTTGCTAACAGACAGCCACGCACCCAAGATTTTTTTCTCCTCCTATACCTCATTTACTCTTAAAAAACTGTCATAAAGCATGAAATTCAACTGCTTCCCTGCTGACTCACAGGAACTCTCACTCATTTCTCTCTTCCTTCTTTTATGTCTAATGCAGCTGGAAAGTTTCCCAAGCAGAATTGCTGAAGACTAAGATGAAGTCCTTACTCCATAAACATGAAGCCTCTTCTACCTTTAACTTCTGTCGTTCCACAAAGGATTTCAACAAAGCTCCATCTCAGTGCAGAAGCCGAGCTACAGCATTACGGCATCCTCACAAAAAAGTTATTTAGCTGCTACAGCTTGTGTATAGCGCTCTCTGACACAAGCGATGAGGGAGCCTGCTCTGTGGAGAAACACACCTAGGCTCTCCTTTGTCCTCAGCTTTAGTTTTGCAAAGGGGTATTTTACACCGAAACAACCACCAGGCACGGGCACTCTCAGACTACTAAACGAAGCGGGTTTCATCAAGATTGATCAGGTACCGGAAACCCAGTAAGAGAGGAAAGACCAAGGGTAGACGGCCCTTCCCTCGGCAGTACGGGGCTGCGCTACGGGGCTGCGCTAGAGCCGCTGGGCGCTGGTGCGCGGGTAACCGCCGCGCCCTAACGGTTTCCACAGCGCGAGCTCCACGGCGCGCGAGCGGCCGGGCCACCTCCCGCCA